TATGAACATAGATAGAAATTTGTTTAACAAAACAAACTACTGGAAGTCAGATCTGGCAGGATGTAGAAAGTGGTTTTGTTATAGGGTTGGCAGTGTTGGTTCAGCATTGAAAGATCCACCCCCAAAAGTCATCATTTAAACAGAGGAAAGGAAAAAGCCATATGATCCTGTCACTAGTTGGAGAAAAAGTATTGGACTAAATTCTACAGCTGAGAACTGACTGGATTATAAAGGTTCTGACTTCATGTGTGGATTAATTCACTGACGAGATCATGATTAGATGGCAATATTAGGAGTTAGGAGGTGATGGAATAGGATATGGGGTCTAGTTGAAGGGAGTGAATCATGGGGGCACAACCTTGGTTGCAGCCCTTCCTCTCTGGCTGTTTTTCTTTCTCTCTGCTTCCTGGCTACAATGAGGTGAGTAAGTTTCCTTTGCCATGCCCTTGTACCATGATGTTCTATCTTACCAGAGGCCCAAAGTAACGGAGCCATTGAACCATGGACTGAAACCTCTGAAACTATGAGCCAAAATAAATCTTTCCTCCTTTTTCTCAGGTATTTATTTTGTCACAGTGATGAAAGGCTAACACATCTATCATATAGAATTTGTAGTTCTTATGTTAGAGTTAACAGAGAAACTCAGAAGACATAAGGCCAATGGCTGATAAGTAGCAGCTGTGGAGAGTAAAGTTGTTCTAAGAAAATGGCTTAGTGAACAGGTATTTATTGAAAGCCTAAAAGAAATCAAAAGACAGACAGAAGAGATTTGTAAAAGTACTTTAGATGGCTGAGATTCTTTAAGAAGGTAAAAAAAAATAAAGATGAAGAATGAAAATCCACTTTGTCTAGCCAGATTGCCAGCTCATCATTTGAGCTAAGTGCACACAGAAGCGGGACACCTTCAAAGAACTGCAGCCTTGACTATAGAAACATTCTTTCAAGTCACCTAAGGGTACTTTTTTTTTTGATATTTTGAGACAGGGATTTGCTGTGTAGTTCAGACTGGCCTAGAACTATGTAGTCCAGGCTGGCCTTGAACTTGCAGTGATCCTCTTGCCTCAGCCTCCTGAGTGCTAGGATTACAGGGGTGCACCACCACACCCACCACAGGCTTCTAAGGGTACTCTTGAGACTGGACAGATGCTTCACCAACCTAAGGCAAATCCACAGGAAAAAAAGAGAATGAGCTAGTGGTCAGGTATCATTTGGGAGGATGAGACATAAATGTGAACTTCTGGCATCTGCTAAGCTAACTACTGACTGCTCTAACAATGACAGTGTGGCTTTTAACTTTCTAAACTACATCAAGCTACTCTTAATGCTGGAGATGGAGTTATGGTTACAAAAACAGCCAAACAAAGAAAGGTGTCATCCTATGGGACTAAGACACAAAGTTTTTTTCCTTACACATATAGTTTAGTTCTCATAGATCATTAAGACCAATGGAAAGTAACACTCCCATTAGAGTCTTAAAATTAAATTTCTACTTCAAATTTAGTTATAATTTTGGAGTCACTGAAGCAACAAGAGTATTAATTCTGTTACGTGGGAGCTGTAATAAAATTGTCAGAAGAGAAAGAAAGGCACAGGAACTGAAGACAGGAGTTTGATAAAGGCCTATGATGAATCAAATGTTAACAAGCACTTTATATATATTACCTCTTTTAAGTGGCCTGATGAGGTTATGTTTTAATCTGTATTTTAGACAGGAAGGCTAATGCTCACAAAGGCAAAGGGACTTGGCACAGTGCTGGTTTTTAAGTATGGAGCTGAAACTGGAACCCAGATATGACTTTAAATTGAATGGTCTCTCCATAACTGAGAAAAAGATAAAAATTCCATTTATACTTGGCTTGTCCTTTCCTATACAGACTTCAGTCATAGGTATCTTTATCTAAGGCCTATAGAAAAGAAACTTAATCCCTAGGGGGAGATAAGTTAGCTCACCTCTCGTGCATCTTTATCTGGTATTAGTGTCTGGAAGAAGAGATGATGTACTGGAGGCCGCAAGAAGTACTTCATTCTATGTAGGCAGGGTCTGTTGCACAGCCCGCCTTGCAATGTTTGTGTTTGTACCTGGACAGACCTGGCACAGGCAGGCTCTGACAATGACATCTCTTTTCTGGCTGATGTTTCTGTGACAGAAAGCCAAGGAACTTTCTCTAAGGAAGTTTCAGACTGTGGAGATGGTGGGCCAGGGGAGCAACTTGTAGAGGATGGAGTTGAGATATCCATAGGACTGTCACAATTCTGTACATCATTCTGAGGAGAGTGAGGCCTGTCTTGTGGTAAGCGAGGCAAGTCTCCCCGTGAACATGACATGTCTCTTGATGAGTGTACCATGTTTTCAGGTGAGTGTAGTACATCTGGCAAAAGTAGCACACCTCTGGGTGACTGTGACATATTGCCTGGTGACTGTGTTATGTTACCAGGTAACTGTGGCATGTTTTCCAATGGCTGTGGTACATCTCCTAGTGACTGTGACAGGTTTCGTAGTGACCGTAAGTTTTGCTGATATGCCACATCTTGTGGATATGACAGGTTTTGAGGTGGGCCTGGTACATCCTGAGGTAGGTCCAGAGGGCCTTGAGGTGGGCTCAGTGGGCAATGAGGATGCCATGATGAGTCTTGAGACAGGACTGGCATATTCTGAGTGCATGGCACATCTTGAGAAGGGCATGACATTTCTTGAGGTGGGTGAGGCAAAGCTTGTAGCTGGCACTGAGTGGTTTGTGATGGGCATGACAAGGCTCGCGGTGGACATGAGGAGGCTCGTGGTGGACATGGTGAGGCTCTCAGTGGGGATGGCAAGGCTCGTAGTGAGCATGGCAAGGGTGCCCTTGGATTGCTGCTGCTACCATTATTGCTTGAAGGGGAAAGGGAGCTAATATCTGAAGATAGCTGTGTGCTTGGCAGGAAGCTGAGGTCACCTTTGAATGTAGCTGAGCTACAATTTGGCTCTTCTGGATAAACAGAGTCCTGACTGATGGATGTAGGGGGCTGAGGACCTTCAAAAGTAGTTTCTTCCAACAGATCCAAATCTACAGGATTGCTGTTAATGATTCTTTGTGGTACAGGTCGAGAGCTTCTGTTTCCTCTTTCCATTACCTCTTTGCTAGAAAGGATGGCACATGTCTGCAGACTGCCTGGCTCTTTCTGAGAGGGAATGACAGATTCTAAAGTCAAATCAAGAGTGTCAATAGGTCTATTTTCGTCTTCACTTCCTGTCAGGTCAATCACACAGAGCCCATTGCGATCCTTTGCTCTTGGTCTAGTTTCTGTAGTTAAGTCAATGAAATCCTGTTGAAAGGTTATAAGAAGAAAAGAATTAAAGAAGGAAGTTACAACTTTAGCTAAAAAGAACTTAAGTTTTAGTTATTAGGAATGAGCATTTACACATCTTTTATAACATAAGGATTAGTTTATGTTCTTTGTTCAACATTTTGTTAGTGTCAAAGCTATGAATTTCTGTATCTTCTTAAATTATCCAAATGCTTAATATACATACTTTTTATACTGGGAGCATAATGGGCATTTTTTTTCTGGTCCAAGGATGACAGGGTAGTAGTAGGGGATACTTCAACCTTCATGAAATAGAAAGCAACCTTTGTTTGAAAAAGCAAATACACAGGATAACTACAACAGAAGCTAAACAAGAGGATCTTTGTGCCAAGAACATGTTAATTGCTTTTTCACAATCTTACATTTTCATAATAACACTACAATGTAGTCATTATATTTAAACTCTAGTGAAAACTAGAGTTTAAAGGAGTAAGGTTATTTACCTAAGGATTATACAACTAAGTAGCAGAGATACAGACATTCAAAACAAGATCTGTCTCTCCTTTCCCTGTTAGGGCCTAGGAATGTACAACTTCATTCAATATGTAACCAGTTTAAAAAGAGACTCAGAAGAAAATACAACAAAACCAATAGTGTTAGTCTGAATCCAACCTAGATTAGCAAATGGAAAACCTATCTCTGCTCCCATTCCTTGGCAAATTGATCAGGCAATTCACAAAACTTGATGATGCCAGTCAAAGGTGCTATAAGTAAATTTTGTACCATGAACCTGGAACAAATTGCTGTAGTTTCTATGTATCTTCTCATCTGGTTGGGTACCACTACCATTGATACATTAGGGTCTTGAGGCTTGAGTGTTACTGTTACTACAGCTATCATGCTATTTCTCTCTCTCATGGTATTGCGATTGAACTCAAGGAGTGATAAGCTACAGCCTCACCCTTATTATTTTTATTTTTGAGACATGGTCTTGCTAAGTTGCCCTAGGCTTGGTTGGTTTTGTGATTTTCCGGCCCAAGTAGCTGGTATTACAGGCATGAGCCACTGTTCCTGACAGGTTACTTCCTTAATAGATATAATGGTCACCACTATGAACAGCACCAAACCAGGGCACAAAATTCTGGGTGGGTCAAAGGAGAAGTTGGTATGTGCCTTACCTGGAATAGGAATTTCTTAGTAAAACCTATGCCTCATTTCTAGGAAGCAGCCTCTGATGACTCTCAATGGCTAGCTGAACTGAACACTTAATAGCTGAAAGGCCACCGAAGGTCTGAACATAACTCTATCTCCACCTGCTAAAATGCAACATTTACAATTTCTCTATTTAAAATTTCTATTTAAAATTTATTTCAACAGATCCACATGACCTGCAGGATAAAGGTCAAATGTCTTAGTAAGGTTCATAAGGTCCTTCACAATAAGACCTGTACATACCTTCAGTCTGTCTCCTCCCCCCCTCATCATATGATCAAATCACACAGAATCACTACAGAACCCCAAATGTGCCAAGCTTTCTCAATATTTCCATATTTTCTTTTTTTAAAAAAATATATTTATTGGTACATTTTAGGTATACAATACATTTACATTTATCATTGGGTGCTTGTACCTGAACATGATGTATCTTAGTTCTTATTTTTCCCCCATTACCTGTGCGTCCTTCACCCCCTCCACCCTTCCCTATTTTCCATATTTTCTTTTAACTGCAATGACTATTACCCTTTGCTTGGAAGTACAGTATTTTGTCTTTTAAGACTCAGAGCAGGCATTACTGTATGTGGAATCTTCTAGCTCACTTGTTGACCTAGATTAATTCCTCTCTCTTTCATGTCTCCATTGCATCTGTACAAACTTCCCTTCATATTCTAAAGTTTAATGATACTGAAAATGAAAAGGCATTTTCATTTCATTTTCCATTGTTCAATGGAAATACTATTGATACATGTGCATTAATCCTGTATCCTGTAACCCTATGTTTTCACATTAGTGTGAGTAAACAAAGTTTTACTTTTTCCTTTTTAATCTGTGGTCTTTCTCACTGGTCCCCCTTCTTATTGCAAACATCCAGTACAATTCAGGATAGATGGACTGACAGTGGATATTCTTGCTTTGTTCTTGAACCTAAAAGGCTTTCAGAACTTAAGTGGGCCAGGGATTTAGTCCAGTGGTTCTGCCACCTGCCTCACAAGTGCAAGGTCCCAAGTTCAATCCCTGGTACCAAAAAAAAAAAAGAATTTTATCAGTAAGTATAATGTTGTTAGCTATGTGGTTTTCACAGATGCCTTATATCAGAATGAGGAAGTTCCCTTCTTTTCTTAGGTAACCAGTTTTAATTGGAAATGGGTGTTAAATTTTGTCAAATGCTTTTTCTGCAAATACTGATAATTTTTCTATTAATATATCAAATTATATGGGTTGATTTTCTAATGCTAAATTAATCTTGCAATATTAGGAAAATTTCATTTGATTATGATGTATTATTCCTTTTCTATATCATTGGGCTGTAATGTATCAATGTTTTGTTAAAATTTCTTTTGCATGTTCATGAGGTATGTTTGTAATTTTCAATTCTTACCATTTTTTTTCTAGTTTTGTTGTTGGAAACTACTCATAAAATTTCTTGAGAACTATTCCCACCACTTCTCTTTAGGATATGCTGTAATGGTACTGTATTTTCCTTAAATGTTTGATACCAGTGAAGCTGTCTGCAAGTGGAATTTATTTTGCAGGGAAACTATAAATTGAAATTATAAATTCAGTTTTCTTACTACATATAGGGGTATTAAAATTTTCTTTTCCTTCTTTGTTTTGTCATTTGTTTTTCTAGGAATTTATTTCATTCTAATTATCAAACTTATTGGCATAAGTCATTTGTAATAGTCCCTTATCTTTTAAAATTTCTATATTTTGTATAAAATTCTTTACTCTCAGTTCCTGTTTTTTATTCTCAGTATTATTAACTTATGTCTTTTTTGGGTTTATGATCAGTCTAGCTAGTTTATCAATTTTATTAATCTTTCAAAGAAACAGGTTTTTAAAATTTGTTTTCTATTTCATTTATTTGTTGTTTTTTTAATTATTTCCTTCCTTCTAGTTACTGTGGAGTTAATTAGTTAATTTGCTTTTTCTAGTTTCCTAATGTGGAAGGTTTGAGTACTTTCAGACCTAGGAGGCGGGCCAGATCAAGCACCCGTAGACATATCCAATCTTCTGGACTCAACTACAGAGAAGTTCCCCACAACTGCTACAAGTCAAAATTTCTTCATTCGTAAACCTAGGGGAAGAGCACACTGGTCAAATTCTGACTGTTACATAAATAGGACTGAGAGAACTCTACTTTTCTGTTTTCTCTCATTTCTTTTTCTCCCTTCATATGTTTTATATATGCAAAAAGGAGAGTAAGAACTAACTAGTGCTTTAGTTTAAATAGTATCTTCCATAGGCATGTCAGGTTAACCCTCAGCAAAAATTATGTATACAGGATTCATCACAAAAAAAATTATGTATAGAGGATTCATCAAATACAAACTTTCTATCAGCACATTAATTGATTCCGACTTCCTCCATTTCCCTTGATCTCCAATTATATTTCCCTCCTTTTTTTTTGTTTTTTGTTTTTGGTACTGGGGATTGAACTCAGGACCTTGTGCTTGCAAGACAAGTGGTGGGCTCATTCTTTGTTTTTCCTGCCTCCACAAATAACCTCTCAAAACACCTGTCATCAGCCCTCCATTCTAGATATAAAAATAATATCAACAAAGCCCTATCTTTTTTCTTTTTTCATTTGCTGTTAATCTCTTTTTTCTTCTTTCCTAATTTCTGAACTATTCCTTTTTCTTTATCCTCTACATCTCAGTCTACATGTCATCAGTACTCTATCATAGTCTTTCTAGGTTATTGAACAAAGGGTAAAACTGTTAAAACAAGTTTTAAGTTACATAATTGATAAATGGTTGGCTGTAAATGCTGATATAAGCAGTAGCAGATCTCTCCTTGCAACACAGTGAGTAGGACTGAATCCTATTGAGTACGCTGCAGAACTGTATAAATAGGAAAACATAACTAAGGCCAAGGTCACACCACAGAGAAACATACACTAATTAAAGAAATCTCATAGTAGTGTCAGTTTTTTACCTATCTGATCCTTCACTCTCAGCATAAAAATAATAAAAACACGAGAAAACAAGGTAGCAAGATGCTTCCAAATATTAAATTCAAAGCTAATCCATGGCCAGTTAAATGGAGGAAGTCACAGCCAAAGAGCTCAAAAATAAAATGGTTAAAATGTTTGAAGAGATTAAAGAAGAAATAAATCCATATGATATTTAGGGAGCTCAAAGAGGATGTAAATAAACAGATAAAAATTTTAATTAAAAAAATGTTCAGTGAGCTAAAGAAGACACAAACAGCTGACTGAATTAAACAAGACAATACAATACATGAATGATCATTTTACTAAAGTATTAGAGATAACGAAAAGAAGTCAAGCAGAAATCCAGAATATAAAATTTCTATTGAAAGTACAGGCAGCAAAAAAGTTGATGTAGTAGATCATGTAGTCAATGATATCCTAAAAAACAGTAAGACATCACGGAAATGGATCTGATAGCTGCTAAAGGAATTTTTAAAAACCCACTTAACCTAAGAAACATAGGAAAGATTAGAGGATGACACAAAAGGTATAGAAAAATTATTCAGTGAAATTACAGCAGAACATTTTCCTAATGTAGGGATAGAATTCAATTTCCAGGTAAATGAAACTATAGAACCCCACATTGCTATGACCAGAAAAGTTTCCACAACACATCATAATACAACTTTGAGAAATTTAGCATGAATTTAACAGTATAAAAGGTGTTAAAGAAAAAATTTTAAGTAACTTACAAAGGCAAGCTGCTCCGAATAACAGCAGATTTCTCAACATCAACTTAATACCCAGAAGAGGTCAGAGTTGTTTTTCAAACTCTAAAAGAAAACAACTTTCCACCCAGATTAAT